ATATATATATATATATATATATATATATAACGTTAGACTATATGAATTGTTGCAGGCTAACCAATACAACCTAGTGAACCGTTGCAACTTCTTTCAAGTGTGATGGTTGTGAGACGAAGAGTTGTAACTCAAAAAAAAGGCAAATAACGTGTTTAGTGTGAATGGTTGCAACCCTTTGGAGTAGACGTGTCTAGTGACGAATAGACACTTACAAGTTTATAAATACCCCCTAAATTCAATTGCAAAGTGCACCATTCAGAATCTTGTTTACAGATTTCTGAATTTTCTCTCTCTCCCCCCTTTCATTCTCTGCATACATATAGTTCTAGTGTGTGAATAAGTCCGGTGTAAAAGAAAGAGTACTTCACCGAGTTGGTTTTCACCAGTTTATCCGGTTTGCAAAAGAAAGGTTGTTGTATCCTAGGAGACTGACGCTACAGGTTCGTTTATAATTCGGTTTTATTATACTAGAAAATTATATATATGTATATATATTATTTATAATAATAATTATTATATATATATATATATTATATTTTTAATAATATTTAAATAGTAATATTATAGTATATGGTACATAAATACCATTTTGGTAAACAAAGGTGTTTCTAGAATGTTAAAAAAATAAAAAAGATTATTAACACACTTTTTTAAATATAATTAGAAAGTGCTACCAAAATATACATTATGCGTGTTTTCGTTGCTTGACCAACAAGAAATTAAACTCTTTCATTCACGACTCACTACAAATAGGTATCACAAATCTTCCTATCAGTACAGATAAAAATCCTCTCTAGGGAATATGTCACAGCCGGTGACTAACCTACGGTTCTAGTAGCGCCACATCGCATAAGTGGGGATGGGTTAAAATTTGTTACTGCATACTGCAAGTATAATCGTTTATACAAACTACCAAATTTTAGCAGATGACACATTTTTTTTTTCTTCCCTCTCAAAACCCTAAATTTTTAGCATTATCTTATCAAAATCTCTGGTTTGGTAGCGATTAATTGATTCAGGGTATATATGTTTGAATCATTTGTTGTTAGTGTTATATCTCTGATTTTGCTAATCATTGATGGAAAGAAGATCTCCATGGTTCTCAAATTAGATAACTAGATAACTATGGTTTTGCAATTGATTGGTGGGAAGACGATCGCCACGATTCTGAAATTGGATAACTTCATTCGAGAATGACAAAACTTTATAGATATATATATATATATATATATATACATCCTAACTTTCTCCTTAACAACATCCCAACCATCTCTTTCTCTTGTTTGGGATACATGTTAAGAAAATGTTGGAACGTTAATCTAGCATCACAACATTTTCTTAATGTACATCTCAACTTTCTCCTTACTAGCATCCCAACATTTTTCTAATGTACATCCCAAACAAGATAAAGAGATGAATAATGTGATGTTAGTAAGGAAAAAGTTGGGATGTAGATAAGGGAAAAGTTGGAATATAGGGTAGGAAAATGTTGTGATATACAATTTGTACTAAGATATGTCTATGTATTTGTACAATAAGTGAGATGTTGGTAAGGTGAAAGTTGGGATATAGGTCAGGGAAAGTTGGGATATACAAGAAGTTGTAGGTTAGGGAAATGTTTGTGTAGAGAGAGATTACAGAGAGAGAAAAAAAAAAGAGTAAGAAGTTAGTATGATTTTGATTTGGTCCCGTATGTATGTGTGTATGTATATACAAAAGTTTTTTTTTTAAAATTTTTTTTTAGGTTATGTATTTTTACTTTTCTAATTTACTTACCGGCTGAGACATACGTTCTATTGCGCCTGAGAGGATTTCGGTCCCTATCAGTACTGCTTAATTTCCTTTCCTTAATCATCCATTAATTCTCTGTTTGAGAGGATCGAGAAAGAACACATGGATCAAGAAACTTGAAGATGTCTCAATAAATAATGTTTAAGAAGACAAAATTGTCACATGTGAAATAATTATAGTAATTAAAAAATAATGAAGATGTCTCAATAAATAATGTTTAACAAGACAGAATTGTCACGTGTGAAATAATTACATTAATTAAAAAAAAAAGGTGTCAAAAAGATTGTTTTTTTTAAAGAATAGTCACAGTTTCTCAAAAGAGACTAAAACCATAGAAGTAATTACATAACAATAAATATAATAATTTCTTCTTAAAAGATTACATTAAGAAATCATAAGAGCAATTACAAATCAATAAATATAATAATTTCTTGTTAAAAGATTACATTCAAGTTCCCTCGTATTACCTTATTATTTGGTCCACTTCTTAAATTGGAGTGTTTTAATTGAAATGTACCGGGTGTCCAGAGTCCAGACTCTCTAATAATTTTCTTTAATTAAGAGTTACTTTAACTACCAAAAAAATAAGTTTCTTGTCATTATAAATAGAACAAGTTCTTACGCTTCTCTCCACAAAAAATCTGTAAAGTACTTGCAGTAGTACCGGTCCTCAATAAATGGCAGGCATAATCAAGTTAGTTTGTGTAGTTTTCTTTCTCAGCCTCATGAGCAAAGGTAATATATATATATATATATATATATATATATAGATCTATTTTTACTTTTCTAGGTATATAAAGGTAAATTAGTTCAGCGTACAGTGTAGCCAACTTTACAAATTTTCTTATGTTTTTGATGAATTTTTTTATATTACAGGAACTCTCCAATGCTACCCGGGAACGCTGACACTCAAACAAGTTGCGACTGGAGTTCACATAAGTAACAAGCCAGAGTGGAGAGTGATAATTGCCAACGAATGCCTCTGTACTCAGTCAGATGCCAAAATACTTTGTGCTGGATTTCAAACCGTAGAGCAAGTCGACCCTAATATTTTTGCCAAATCTGGGGACACTTGTGTCATCAACAATGGATATCCTATACATGGACATACTTCGGTCAACTTCACATATGCTTGGGATAATGCTTTTGCATTTGGCAAAATAACATCCCAAGAGAATTGTTCTTGAAGAAATTTTTTGGGGTACGGTTTGATTCCTTTTCATTTGGCAAAAAATATGGTGGCTATAAAAGCTTAATCATGTAGCTCCTTTTTTTGGTAATAAAAGAGATTCCTATTATCTTGTGTTATGGATTATATATATATATACACTCATATATTTTGGTATGTATGAGTATGATGGCTGGCATTAATGTAAAGAAACCAAGACACCCATTGACAATGTATGGTGAAACGAAGTGGAGAACAAAGGATGTAATGAAGCTTGAGAGATTTGATTCATGTTATAACTGGCATCCAAATCCAAATTCAAATTCAAATTGGAAACCAGATGTTATGTCCATGAATCAAAACCATCCTGTATAATCCATATCATATTGGCAGAATTTGAAGCTTCACCGTCTTTAGTCTTTCAAGGATGTTTGCAATTATTTTGATTTTGCAAAATATCCGTTATGTTATTTCATTCCTATAAATTGGATTTATTTCATTTCCATATATCCAATTTAGTAACTTCCGTGAAAGAAAGATTATTGTAATATAGGAAGGTCAGGGTAACCTTTTCAATTCATGGATGATGGTCCAAACATATTTTAACCTATTCTGAGTAGGGTTAAAACGGTAATTTACTCTTTTATTTTATTTTACTTCTTTTATTAATATACATATATTTTTTTACAGATATGTTCCAACATAAACAAAGTTCTATGCGCGCTCAAACACCTACCTCTATCTCTATATACCTAGCTAGATGGATAAAACTATGTATTGGATTTTGATTTTTTTTTATGACACTTTGGATTTTGATTTAGACTTTGGCCAAATTGGTCGGGTTCATATACATATATACAATGTTGCTCAAATGTTGGGAAAAAGAAAAGATGGACAGGCATTCATAGAGTAGAATCTATAGAAGGATATTAGTATAAGTTCAATCCATGCTTTTAAGCCTTACCATTATAATCCAAAAATTGTTGGTAATCTAATATTATTATAAACCATATTATTCTTCTTTTGATGATTTTTTTTTTTTTACCTCACAAGTTACACCAACAATAAATGAAGGTCTTAACTTATTTATTTATTTATTTTGTTTTGTATAAATAATTGAGTATTTTTTCGGTCAAAAATTACATTTTCTCTAAAACATGGCATTTATTTCTTTAATTCTCACCCTCCTGTCCGCTGGATTATGATCACACATAGTGAGTTGCACAATCATTAATGTCAGAGCTTGCATAATTTTCCAAGGGTAATTTGCTCTCACCATAAAGATTCTATTTATTGCCAATATAAAAAAAAATTGTGTTTAAGAAGGTAAAACTAATAAATGAAAATAGTAATGTCTTGTTAGAATATTACATTGGTGGTCAAGTACAATCATCATGTTCAAATTTTCTCAAAATATCTTATTATTTGGTCCACTTTTCCTAGTTGGCCATCTAATAATTTTTCTTTAATTAAGAATTATTTCACTACCGAAAATGATAAGTTCTTGTCATTATAAATAGAACAAGTTCTTGCTATTCTCTTCACAAAAAATCTGTATAGTATTTGCAGTGGTCCTCAATGGCAGGCATAATCAAGTTACTTTGTGTAGTTTTCTTTCTCAGCCTCGTGAGCAAAGGTATATATAGATATTACCCATTTCAACCAAAAACAAAAAATATATATATACTTTTCTAGGTATATAAAAAAATTATGTTTTTGATTAATTTCTTTCTACTACAGGAACTCTAGCGCAATCTGAAACCCTATCAAGAGTCTACCAGAGTAAAGATAAAAAATAAGAACGAATGCCCGTGTAAACAGATCTAATCCTATAGGGCGTGAATCCCCTGCTGTAGGTATTCCTGCGGTCCCATGCGGTGCAATCAAAACGCAGTCGTCGAAATTAATAAGCGGTCCAAAACTTGCCATGTCTACATTCGTTCTTTTGTCTACTTTTTCCTTTTTACCTTAACCACGGTTAAACTAGCTCTATACCCCAAGTTATTACGTATATACGTATTTAATATACAATTATTTTTTGTTTTTTAGATGCGACGTGGAGAAGACTGTCTCAATCTAAAATCCTCTCTATTTCAAAATGATTAGATCTGAATTTCTCTCGCCTTGACACCCAGCCATTAGCCAAATAACCCAATAATTTTAGATTTTATAGCACAGATAAATAAGTATAGCAGATCCAAATATTTGATTTAGGGTTCTCAGGTTCAACATTATTTTTCTCTCAGATGCGATTTAGATTGTATGGCACAAGAATACGAGAACCAAATATTTGATTTAGGGTTTTCATCTTCAACAACATATAGCTGAATTCATGGTCTGTTCCAGCAATAATCATCTACTCATTCGCATAGTCACTCAACAACCAAAGCCCAATTTACCAGCCATGGACGATGCTCAGCTCAAGTCTGACGACCTCATGGACCAAATGAAACTCCTGAGCAAAGGTAAGGGTTTCTCATTTATTCTCTATTTCATTCTTAATTTTATCTCAATTCTGAATCAATTTCGATAATCAAGCAAGCCTCAAACCCTCTCATCAGTCCAGTGCATTTTACAGCTATATATATATATATATATATGTATGTATATATTGTTACTATGCGTTCTCGCATTTAGCTAGAATGCGTCAATTGATGCGATTCTTTGATTATTTGTGTAATTATTTTATTGATTTTTTTGGAGAATTTTAGGTATATATGAAAGTGAAAAACCTGATGCCACCTTTTCTTTCAAGGATGAAGATTTGTTAAGGTCTCCATTGGCAAGTTGAACCCCCAGATTGCTTTCATGAGGTCTCGTTCTCTTTTCATATTAGTCTTTTTCAAATCTTTTATTTTTCATACTTTACAAATAAAGTACCAAAAAATAATGTTTTGATGTTTTTGTGATACACTGATGGATGCAGGGGTGCAATGAAGATTAAGGGCAGTCTCAGCGTGCCTTGGAAATTTACTCATGACAGTTTTCCCAAGCCTTCAAAAATGTGAGAGTACACAAAACCAATGATTTATGTGGGAGGGTGATTTACTAGACAGTTATTTCAATTTTCTATAAAGCTACGATTTTGTAGATTGATACTATTTCACACCCATATTAGGAAATTGATAATAATCTGAAACCATCCTTCAACATATGGGGTATTTGATTGAAAGTTTTTACTCCTAAAGGAATTTTAAATTTAATTTTCCTTTCCGAATCATCTCAAGCTCACTTGTCTCTTTGATTGAAATCATAAGCATTCGAGGATCTGTAATTTTTTTATGTACCTTCATAGTTAGCTTATCTCACTATTAAGTTTAAACAATTTTTGTGGATTGGTTGTTAATCTCAAGCATTACGCACCAATGCATAATTCTTAGTTTCTGTCAACATTTATTAAGAATTGTGTTGGAGTTAGAAATCATTGTAAAATTTCAAAGTATGTTGTATAATGTTGTAGGTTGGGTAAAGAGGGAGAAAAGTAAGTACTCCAGGAGAATTCTAAGATACGTTATTAGAATTCTAATCCTATATATGCACATAATTCGGTCAGCTTCACATATGCTTGGGACCATGAGTTTGCATTTGGCAAAATATTGTCCAGCTCAAATAGTGATATGACTCTTTCTTTTTTAATTCTGACGTGGCTTACACTTTGACTTAGCAACAATGCATCAAATAGTGATCTTTATATAAATACATAAGAAATTTATGTGAAGGCCAAAAGTTCTCAGATATATATTGAATACATTGACCAATTTATTCCAAGAATTAGTGTTCTTGCGGCATTGCACATAGTATCGAACATCCCTAAGTATCACATGTTTGAGGTTTAAAGATCGTCTAATGCAAGACAACAACTGTTCTGATACTCATAAAAACAACCCTTGGTCTTTAATCAGGGCACATTACACAAAATTCCGGACCCCAAAGGCGTAAAAACATAGGGAGAATCCCAAGCATAGTTGAAGGTGACTGCCGTGGAAGGTGTTGTCCAAAATATGGTCTAACTATACCATATACTATAGTATTATTTATTTAAATATTATATGAAAATATAATGTGTGTATATATATATATATATATATATATATATAATTATTATAATAATCTATATATATATATATATATATAATTTGTTATAATATATAGTTTAATATAATAAAATAAAACCTATAAAATAAAAGAACATGATTAAAAGTCGAGGTTAGAATTTGATTCTATGTCCTTAAGACAGATTTGTCTCGCTATGGTGCTGACGGACTCAATGGCGTCTATCTCACAGGATACAACGACTTGTTTTCCTTCGGTAGTAGCATTGCTGTGATACCCCCTAATTTCGGAACACGGGTTGATCAAGTCCGCGCACAAAATCAGGGGATATTAAAAGAATTAAAGTATTTCAAACAAGCACATAGTACAAAAAGAAATAAAAAGAATAAATAATTCGCTGAAGGAAAATCTATTAAATAAAAATTCCATTAATAACTCCAAAAGTTACAACTCGGGAATCCCGTAAGTCAAGGACCCCTGATAACATAATCCAATACTCCAATGGTCTCAAAATAAAATCCATTATCTACAATAAGAAAATATCCAACATTGAAATAAGAAGAAAGAATGGATAAGTCCTCCAGCTGCGGATCCTTAACCTTGAGACTTGAATTTCTAATAACCTGAAAAATAAATCGCGGGTTAAACCCTAAGAGCAAGTTCTCCCTACCAGACCTTTTAAAACCAATAAATAGATCATTTATGATCAAAACCAAACCTAATAAAGTCTTTATCTTTAATGTACATAATTATATACAATATAACTATCACAACTATTACCAAGTTCATTAATTCCAAACCCATTATCAATGATTAATTAATAATCATACCTAGTCCAATTTACAATTTCTTTTAAAGAAACTCCTCTAACCCTAACTCCATCATAGACAGCAATTTAATAATTTAAACCATAAAATATAATTATAAGAACATTATATTTAATTCCAAAACCAATAATGATTTTTAAGTATTTAAATCACACAGTCAATATCTAGACTTTGACAAATCATCCGTGTCACTACCAGTATTATTTTATTAATATGTATAAAATAATATACTAACATGTAAGTACTAAACTATTTTACTTTAAGAATATCTAATCCTAATCCAACTTACACAAACAGTAACCATAGATGATATATTTTAATCATCAAATACACAACAATATAATTACACTTTGGCAAATCAGTCATGCCATTATAAATATATTTATTTATATATCGGCAACTCAACCATGCCTCCTTAAGTATGTTTATTTATACATTGGCAATTCTACCATGCCTCCACAAGTATAATTATTTATACTTTTAATTAGCAACTCATCCATGCTTTCCATGTATGTATTATATTAATACAAATATTTAGGTAATATATTTAACCCTTTGGCAATTCATCCATGCCTACACTTTAACCATGAATCAATTTTAAACTTAACCATACGCTAAATCATACATAGCCATCTCATGCATATTCTACGCATATCATTAATTTAATAATCAACCTATCAAGATATACCAAATAAGAATGATAATATTAATCATCTTAAATGATATATATATACAAACACATATATCACACAATATATATGTGTATATTACCTTCCATAATAATTCTTAATTATTTACAACATATACATATATATCAATACATATATATATATATATATATATATATATATATGTATGTATATATATTTCCCTCCAAACCAATCACATATTAGTTAATTCATATATATACATATGTAAAATAAATATATATATGTATGTAAAGTTCCTTCCATAACTAATATATTAATTAATTATAATTACGCTAGTTAAATGCAACTAGTTATCGTAGTAGCATCCTATAACCCTCAAAAACCTAAAACACATCCCCTAGTAATTAATTTCAACATTTATAAACTTGAAATCAACTCTGAGACATTGCCGAACTCCACAGTAATTTTCTGGATCCCCAAACACGTCCACACGCGCCCCCATGTGCCGCCAAATGTTCCTACACTTGCTGCACGCGCTTCCACGTGTAACCATAAATAGCCACGTGGCCTCACACGCCCCCACGCGCTGTCTACGTACCTAATTATTCCTCTTGCTGACGTGGCATCTTCTAATTGGCTATTCTTTTGTGTTCTGGTGCACTCACCCACAGTGGATCAATTTCTGTTGACCAAACCTCGTCAAAGGTCTAGATGCATCCGCGCATCCGATCTCCATGCGCCGCGATGCACTGGATTATTGTGCACTCAACCACTTCACCCAGCGGCTCAGATCATCATCCGCACCCTCACTCCATGCATTGCACCACACTGAATCTTCTCTTGATTATCAGGACCATCCTAAGGTCCTGATTTAAAGCGCATTGTAGCGCTGTATGCCGCGCCGCACATTAGAACACCTCTTATTAGAGGCGCCGAATTCCCCAGCGTGTATATATATATATATATAATGTAAATTTCCACATAATTTAATATAAAAAAATCAACCTAATTAATTCCAGAAAATATAAAAAATATACCAGAAAATTTCAGAAAAATACCAGAACATATAGAAACCCTAATTAAACCTCTTGGGTCACAAATTCACCTATACCTTAATTTTAAAAAAATATACAACACATACGTACACCATTAAAATCCAATAAATCCACAAATCAAATATAATAATTTATGTTTATTTATTTATTTATTATTATTCTAATATAACTATGATTTAATCAGTAAATTTAATTTAAAATTATGATACTCAAGGTGATAAACTTATTGGTCCTAAGACAAGAGTTAGAAAATAGCTTGCCTGAAGGTTTCGAAACGAAACCGACGCTTCAATCTTTGATTGTTTTTTCAGATTTCAGCATCCTCTTTCTCAGATTTCAGCATCCTTTTTCTTCTCTATCTATCTCTCTTATTTTTTCTAACGTGTAAAATTTATAACAATAAAACCTCATATCTATATTTATACACATTAATTACCCTAATCCTATTCCCACTAGGATTACCAAATAAAAATAATAATAATTATCTTTTAAATAATATAATATATATAAACATATATTATATCACACACACACACACACACACACACACACACACACATATATATATATATATATATATATATATATATATATATATATATCTTCCATAATTAACTATTGGTTAATTAAATCATATATCCTATATATGTCCTTCTATAACATTAATTAATTAATTATATTTATATATAATTAAATATCTAGTTATAATTATACCAAAATGATTAAATAATCACAAAACCATGGGCTTAATTAATTAACCCAATAAAGTTTCATTCAAGCCTAAGACCATATCCTTTGGTCCAATTTCCCTTAAACCCAGTACAATTAATTTAAATAAATAAAATAATTAAAAAAAAACACTTAAGAATGTACAACTAAGTCACATTATACCAATAACATCAACATGCCAACAATTCAATCAATAATTAAACACACAAAGAATCAATCATCATACATAATCACGAAATATAACTTAATTAAAATAGGATAATTAATTAAGCACTCAATAAAATAAAATAAATCATTGAAAAAGAAAATAAAATAAAATAATTAATCCTAATTAATAAATCCTTTAAAAATATCAGGGGATTACATTCTTCCCCCCTAACAAAAGGAATTTTGTCCTCGAAATTCACGAATCTATGAAATGAAAACTTTGATTATTTAATTTCAAATTTCATCATTCCTTTTGTCCGTGTGAAAATTAACCCATCCACACATATTCATAATTAGCAGTCACATCTCACAATTAGCTAATTCCATATTTATATAATTGATAAATATAATAGCACACTAGAGACTCTCACTGGACTAAAGCAGTCTCAACCGGATAGCGGGTATCTCATTAAAACGCACACAAAGGTGGTCACGAGTCCACCTTCTACCAAGGCCCACATAATCTTAAATCTAGTTACCCATCTCAATCGGCAATATACGCCTCCATCCTAACCACTAATCCTAAGACTCAAGCTCATATCGTAGCACATATATATATAATCCGTTATATCCAAACATAAAAGTAAACTATCCAACCATATTATTTCAATGGCATGCCATCCAACTATTCCGTCGACCTGATATGAATAAATAGGACTTAACTCTATGGTTAATCCGTTCCCTTAAAAATATATAGGTACGACTTAACTTTTTTGGTTAATCCGTTCTTGAAATGCCACCATCCCATACCGGTGCATTAAACCATACCATCCATAAATAAATAGGTAGGACTTAACTATTCCGTTAATCCGTCCCTAAAATACCTCCATATTATTTTAATGGTGCATCAATCCATAAAACCC